GATCAGTGTAGATTGCATCGTTTCATGAGCAACGCATACGTTTGCATGGTACGAATAACGTATTGTCTTCTGTCTTTTTCTCCACATGGTAGTCCTTTATCTTTGAGGAACGAAAGTCGAGTTATCCGATTAGGGCTTCAATTCACAATCTTTCAACCGCCAGTTTGCATCTAATGTCTGGTCGTTTAGTTGATAGTCGAAAGAATCTTACTGCGTTAGATTTCATATGCGTAGCAGTGAGCATAGAAAAAACAGAACATATGCGCTGTGCTTGCTTCTCAGGCAGATATCGCTTTCAAAATAGGAATATTAGCTAAAGTCATCGAAAGGTATCAAAGCCATACACGGAAAGGTGCTGCAAATGGCACTCTCCATAGAAATGTCCAAGAAAGAGCGCTCAGCGAACTACCCAGCCAAAACTTTCCTTCCCTTTTCAACTATTGAGCACCGCGCGATTCAGGTATTCGTGTTTTTTAACCGTTTTACCAAATTGCACATATAACATCTTAAATGTTTCTTGTTTGTAGCCACTTTTTATCTATGCTTTTCCATCATAATAGTCTTTCCGTGCTCATCAGATGCGAAACCTTTACATTATTGTTTTTGACTCATGCGGTGTGCGCTCCATTTACGATTTTTTGCTGACTCAAGTGTTGTACACCCACGGTTTTGGCAAAATATTAGTTAAGTTGGAGATTTTAGATTCTCGACCAGACGACTTTGTACAACCTGAATGTCATAAGCTGCCCTGACGACGACGCCTTGTTTAGCAGCTCGCTCCTAAAGCAGGTCGACTTCTGTCACACGGCTTTTGGTGCGTTTGTGATTTTGATTACCGCTAATTCATTCACATAAAACCGGCTTTGTTTCAGGCAAGCGGTTGCTTCGACAGTGGTTGTGCAGCCCGTCATGTAATCCAAAAGTTATCGAAGAGCGACAGCTAGCTATTGAAGATCTGATACAGTCTCCAGAACTGACTAAATTTATGTCATCCTGCCTGAAAGCCATTCCTGATTTGGAACGGTTGTTGCAAAAGTAAGGTTGCGGTGGTTTGTGTAGTCGTTTGAATTCTTTCTTTCGCCTCGATCATCCTGTAATGCGTTCTGCCACAGGTTTCATTCTTTGGGACTTAAGCATCGATCGGTCGACCATCCGGACGGTCGTGCGGTTTTCTTCGAAAGAACGGCTTATAACAAGCGCAAGATCGTCGACTTCCTGCAAATGACCAACAGTTTCAGCAAGTTGCGGAGTGTCGTGCAGTTCGTCGCCGATAAGGGCATTACTTTCAAGTACCGTTTAGTTTGCTTGCCCTGCTCCCTCAAGCCGACAACTCTGATGAGTTGTATGCATTTCAGGTCCCAAATGCTACGATCATCATTGACATGTAGCGCCCGCGACGAGAACGGTCGTTTTCCGGACATAGAAGAAGATTTGCACTACTTTAGAACGTCCTTCGATTATGACTCAGTGCGCAACGAAGGAATGGTTATCCCGAATGAAGGTGTCAGGAGCTGCGGTATCAAAAACATACTAACACATTTTTCGATTTAGGCGTTCACAAGGAGTACGACAGCGCCGAAAAGCACCTGGATGACGTCAAACTGACACTGGAAAACTACATAGATGAAATAAGAAAATCGCTCAAGTGCAGCGTATGTATTGTTTATACGTAGCTTCAACGCCTGGTTACAGTTTTGCTTGAATGTGGTAGAGGCTATTTACTTTGAAGTATGATTGCACGCATATTCTCACTCCTTATCCACTTTGTTCTTGCAGAGGCCTTTGTCAAGCAACAGATCTAATCAAAACGGCTGATGAACATGGTCCCATCTAAAGGACAATGATAATGATAGATGTAATGCTAAAGTTTTAATAGACGGTTATAATTTCGGTATAATCTGGTACATCATCAGGAAAAAATAAACCGGCATTGATGCTACAGTAACAGTAGCATAACTAATACTGAGCTAAACTTGACGTTTGCTGCTTATTGTAAACCTCACTATGTCCCTCAAACAACTTAGCTGAATCGCACAAACAGCAACGGACCGTCGACCATTCCGAACACCCCTCATTCAATTATTGCAGCCCATTTGTACTCTAAAGTTCTGTAAAGCCACAAACAACAGAATGGGTTCCTGTTATGTTTCTTCTTTCATTCATCCCCTTTCGATGTATGGCTGACCAAACTAGGATTCATTTTCTATTTAAAACCCAGATCTGTCTTAGTAGATTCCATTTAATAATCAGTAAGCGACCCTTTTTAAATTAGTTCAGTGTCGTTTGTATGGTTCGATGTCAAAAGAAT